TTCAAAATAAAAAGCTTTTTAAAAGAATAATATGTACAGTTCATATACAGTTTAATGTCATTTATTTAAAGCAAAAAAGACTAATACAAAACAATATGAATGTTAAAGTTTTTTTTATGATCTGAAAAGATGTACCTCAAAATTCAAAACAATGGTTTTTTTGGGGTGGTGGGGTGGGAGAGAGGCAGCAGGGATTATAGGTAATGGTCAATAGAGATTTAGCTCTATCTATAATATTCTAGTTTATAAAAGAAAAATGTATTCTTACCTTACTTGCAACTAATCCTGGGACAAATGATCAGAAATCCATATCAAGTTTACTCTGATAACAAAGGTGAACTAGGAGGATGAATAAAATTAAAATTTGAGCAAGGTACACATGGAGGCTTTATTCATTCCTATTAGATTGAACTATATGAAATTGACAATAGTCCATCATTTTTAATCTATAAAAGTGATAATTTCATATGGCTTTTTATGGACTGAATATTTGTGTACCCCTCAAATTTTATATGTTGAAACCCTAATCCCAATGTGATGGTATTTGGAGGTGGGGCCTTTGGGAGGTAATTAGGTCATGAGGGTGGAGCCCTTGTGAATGGGATTAGTGCCCTTATAAGAGGCCAGAGAGCTGGCTTGCTCTCTTTCTGGCACATGAGGACACAATGAGAAATTGGCAGTCTGCAACCTAGAAGGAGGCCCTCACCAGAATTGGACCAAAAGAAGTAAATCTCTGTTGTTTATAAGCCACCCAGTCTGTGGTACTTCATTATAGAAGCCTGAATTGACTAAGATATGGTTCAATCTAATATTTTTCTTTGCTCCAGAATCCTTTACATGAGCTGGTTCCATTATATAATCTTAATGGGACTGAACAGCAAATATATATATATACATACACATATATATATTTATTTATTTATTTATATTTATATATATACACACACATATATATAATTAGTAATATTAACCATACTAACAACTGAAATATATATTAACTCATTGCTAGCAGAGCCCCTAACAGGAGTTAGTTACACAGCATTAGTGCCAGACAGACAGCTCCCTTTGGCTTATTCAGGTGTGCTAGATAATTTGGGGCTAAAACTAATTAGCATACATAAGGGGTCAAGACATTTTCAACCCCTGAAATTAAGAAAAAAGAATAAACTTTGAGGTCCTTGATATACACTACGGCTAAAAGACAGTAACCTGAGGCCACAGAGCAATGGAAATGATTGCTCCCTTCTCATTAGGAGCTGTTAAGAGGGGGGAGGGAAAAGTTATATGGTCCACTCAGAGTGGGAGATTGATTCCTGAGACCAGGAATGGAACTTCATCTGGAGGAAACCATATGGTTTGGGTTGAGATCATTTTCTGGGGATTCTTGGAAGATAAGTACAGAAGGCCTTTAGGAACCCTGTGCTAATTAACAGAGCCTCCTGCGGAACAGTTCTATACATATCCCATGATACAGGAACTGTTCTAATTCTGGACTAAAAGACAGGGAGTTAAAGACCCAAATGTACTATGATTGTTTCGCTTTTTTTAGCAGTACAAGAGAAAGACATTTCATAAAGGTCTTCCTTAAGTCATACTGTTCAACCTATTCAATTGACCTGGCAGGTAGAAGGGAAATGACACCCCTCTGCTTCAATCCTCTCCCCTTAGGGCCTAGTCCTTCCTTGTAGGGGCCACTACCAGATCATAGAAGCTTGCATTTAAGAACTAGCGTATTTCATGGGCTTCCCTGGTGGCGCAGTGGTTAAGAATCCACCTGCCAATGCAGGAGACAGGGGTCCAAGCCCTGGTTGGGAAGATCCCACATGCCGCGGAGCAACTAAGCCCGTGCTCCACAACTACTGAGCCTGTGCTCTAGAGCCCGCGAGCCACAACTACTGAGTCTGTGTGCCGCAACTACTGAAGCCCGAGCGCCCTGGAGCCCATGCTCCGCAACAAGAGAAGCCACCGCAATGAGAAGCCCGCACACCACAACGAAGAGTAGCCCCCACTCGCCACTAGAGAAAGCCTGTGCACAGCAACGAAGACCCAACGCAGCCAAAAATAAATAAATTAAAAAAAAAAAAAGAACTAGCGTATTTCAGAGAAGACAGACTGCTGCCACCATCAACATCATCATCACTATAATCTGGTGCTTAATTTGTCTCAAGTACTATATTAAACCTTTATCACACATTACCTTATTTAAATCTTGCCACATGGCTATAAGGTGGGCATGCTTAATATTACCACTTTACAACCCCATTGTTCACAGCACCACTATTTACAATAGCCAAGACATGGAAGCGACCTAAATGTCCATCGACAGATGAATAGATAAAGATGTGGTATATATGCACAATGGAATATTAGCCATAAAAAGAATGAAATAATGCCATTTGCAGCAATATGGATGAATCTAGAGATTATCATACTAAGTGAAATCAGACAGACATACAAATATCATATGGTATCACATATATGGAATCTAAAATATGATACAAATGAGCTTATTTACAAAACAGAAATAGACTCACAGACATAGAAAACAAACCCAGGGTTACCAAAGGGGAAAGGGGGGGAGGGATAAATTAAGGAGTATGGGATTAGCAGATACAAACTACTATATATAAAATAGATAAACAATAAGGACCTACTGCATAGTACAGGGAACTATATTCAATACCTTGTAATAACCTCTAATAGAAAAGAATCTGAAAAAAGAATATATATCACTGAATCACTTTGCCGTACACCTGAAGCATTGTAAATAAACTATACTTCAAGAAAAAAAATATCACCACTTTACAGATGAGGAAACAGAGTCTAATAGAGGTTCAATAACTTCCCCAAAGCAGCATAGATATTAATAGCAGAGACTGGATCTAAACCACTTCTGTCTAAAACACATTTCCATGCTCCTAAACACTACACTCTCTTGCCTCCTCCTTTACCCTGGCTGACTCCAGGCACAAAAGGGACAGAGCTCACGTACTGCCTCTGGACCTTCAACTCCTTCCATCTTTCATGCCCAGCTATTTTGAAATACAAAAAGGATTGAGTATGAGGCAGGAAAGACAGGGCTGGGCCCAAGGACAGCCTATACACTTCCTTGTTTTGCACTTAATGAGACCATGACTCATGGAGAAATGGCATCTAAAACAGAAACTTTGTAGCATCTGAACAAGAAACACTGACCATGAAAACCATGGCGCATGCTCAATAAAAATGCAGATTGCCAATGACCCTGTATGACCTTCCCGTGTGGTTGACTAGTAAGGGAAAATTTAAGGGAAAACAGTTCTTAGAGCACATGTACAGTGGCTCCAGGAGACAAAGGTGCAAGACTGGGAGCTGATGCCACCTGGTGCAATCTAGGCCACACCTCAAACGTCCTCTCAATGAATATTCCACCCCTAATCAAAAAGACCCCGCCCATTCAAAGGGTTAAGAAAATAAGATAAAAGGGGGATCAAAAAACCTTGTGGTATGCTCCGCACTTGTGAGGATGCCTGCACTCTTCTTTGAGTGTGTAACTTTCACTTCAGCCTCAATAAACTGCTTTTTTTTTTTTTTTTTTAATTTATTTATTTTGGCCGTGGCACACAGCTTGCGCCATCTTAGTTCCCTGACCAGAGATTGAATCCGGCCACGGCAGTGAAAGTGCCAAGTCCTACCACCGGACTGCCAGGAAATTCCCCTGCTTCTTTGTTCTCTTTGCTCCTCAGCCTGCGTGTTTTTTTCTCCTTTGTATTCTGTGTTCCTTGCCCAACTTCTTTTGGACAAGTTAAACAACAGTCTGGACTTTTGATAAAGCTTTTCTGCTATCAAGTATATGTGTGTCTGTGTTGTAAGTTTAATTTGATAACAACACTAATTTTTACTAAGTGGGATCAGTTTTCATATTTAGTTTATCCAGCAACATTTTTAGGTACACAATAGTTTTCTAACAGGAGATCTTATTTAAGAGCCTTTAATTTAGGGTAATATTTTTAATGTCATCTGTCTGACTTGTAGTTCCAAAATTTGCTGACCAGCTGACTGCTTTTTGGGTTGATCTGAGATGTGCATGGCTTAGAAACCTTAACTCAAGTTCCAGTTCTTTCAGTAACTACTGCTACAATGCTGGACATATCACTTGGTTTTCTTCACCTTTATGATCTCTAAGGTGTTACTGTCTAGTTCTAATTCTATGGCTCTGATCTGTCTTACAAACATTTCTCAAGATATTAATTATATAATGTCTAAAAAAGATATAACAGATAAAAGTTCTGAAAATAAACCCTATGCTTTTCTTTACTGTTTCTAATTAAGCTCATAATCCTCAGTTAGACTTTAATCTTTCATTCAGCCACTCATTCAACAAATATTTATTGAGTGCCTACAAATGTACCAGGGAGCATTCTAGCAGCTTGAAAGTGATCGTTTTCTACCTCATTTAAAACCCCACAGTATTCCAATACAATGACTGTGAATATATCTGTGGATATTTATTCATAGATGTGTGTGTGTGTGTGTGTGTGTGTGTGTGTATCCTCAATTAGTTCCAAAACAGATCTGAGGTCAAAATGTTTAATAAATAATTGTAATTAAAGGTTGAGTAAAAACCTTCAGAAACTGAATGATCTCTTTGAGCCCTCCCACAAAGAATCCTTCCAGCCTCCACCTCCCAAAGTAAACCTGCTCTCTTTAGGTAGATTTAAAGAAAGGGGCATCACTTAGGCTGGGGTGAATCACCATATACAATGAAGGAGGCAGGCAAGGGATCCAAATGGGAGAGAGAAGTGTTGAAGTCAGTCCTTATTTATACCAAATCAAGAAAATGATCCTTTCATCTGCCTGTAGTGACTCCCATTCACTTGCAACATAAATTTAAATAACTTGAATTTCCTATCTGGTTCATTAAATAAAACTGGATTTGAACGTCACACACATGGCCATTAAGCACACTGTCATTACTTACAATTTTGGCTCACGCACAATGATTACCCCAGTATACTTACTGCCTTAGGACATTTCTGAGATACAGGTGTTACTATCTCATCACTATCTGTAGTTTGTGCTTCACTGACTTCAGAAGCTTGTTCACAGGATTCTTTATCTGCCAGAGAAGAGACTAGAGTTACAGAACTGTTTTGGAGTACCCTGTCTAGCCCAGAAAAGACCCAGTACCTACATCTTCAATCTTCTGTTTAGTTACTAGTTCTGAGTACCTAGATTTTGGCTGTAATCACTAGAAGCAAACCTTCTTTTTTAAAGTTTCACTTATTCAGAAGCTTGCCAAACACACAGGGTTCACTTCTGAAAAAAGAAAGGGAAGGAAAGAAGGTAGGGAGGTAGAAAGAATGTTTTGTCCTTTTAGGGGATGGAGAAAATTACCAAGCCAAGGAAAAACAGTGCAATCAGGGTGTAGCAGACTGTATTTTACAAAGACAGCGTCAAACAATATCTCTCATCGCACATGCTCTCTTTTGTACAATGTGATCTTGATACTCCTAATACTTTTTCTTTTTTTTTGCAGTACGCAGGCCTCTCACTGTTGTGGCCTCTCCCGTTGCGGAGCACAGGCTCCGGACGCGCAGGCCCAGCGGCCATGGTCCACGGGCCCAGCCGCTCCGAGGCATGTGGGATCCTCCCGGACCAGGGCATGAACCCGTGTCCCCTACAACGGCAGGCGGACTCTCAACCACTGCGCCACCTGGGAAGCTCCCTAATACTTTTTTTAAGGTAGGTATTTTTATGTTTGTATATATATTTATTTTTAGATTTTTATTTTATATTATAGTTGATTTACAATGTTGTGTTAGTTTCAGGTGCACGGCAAAGTGATTTAGTTATACATATACATATATCTATTCTTTTTCAGATCCTTTTCCCATATAGGTTATTACAGAGTATTGAGTAGAGTTCCCTGTGCTCTACAGTAGGTCTTTATTGATTACCTATTTTATATGTAGTAGTGTGTACATGTTAATCCCAAACTCCTAATTTATCCACCCTGTACCTTTCTCCTTTGGTAACCATAAATTTGTTTTCTAAGTCTGTGAGTTTGTTTCTGTTTTGTAAGTTCATTTGTATACTTTTTTAGTATATCGCTTATATAAGCGATATAATATGATATTTGTCTTTGTCTGCCTTACTTCACTTAGTATGATAATCTCTAGGTCCACCCATGTTGTTGCAAATGGCATTATTTCATCCTTTTTTATGGCTGAGTAATATTCCATTGTATACATATACCACTACTGAGCCCGTGTGCCACAACTCCTGAAGCCTGCGTGCCTAGAGCCTGTGCTCCACAGCAAGAGAAGCCACCACAATAAGAAGCCCACACGCTGCAACAAAGAGTAGCCCCCGCTCACCACAACTAGAGAAAGCCCGTGTGCAGCAATGAAGACTCAACACAGCCAAAAATAAATTAATTAATTAATTTTTTAAAAAAGAAAGAAAATACATCTAAATATGAAACAATTTTCACAGAAAACCAACAGGAAACTGCCAGAAGATCTCTTATAGAACTAAAGCTTCAAGAAAGATCTCCATGTAACCAGGTAGGATAGGGGGAAAAAAAAAAAAGAAAGGTGTCAGGATGGGACTGGTGCCCCTGGGAGTGATCTGTGATGGAGGGAATGTCCACATGGGCTGGCCCTGGCCCTGGGGAGGCTTCTTGCCTGCTGAGAGGTCTACTGGGACAGACAGAGGGCTGGAGGGGCTTAGACTCTGTTTGCAAGGACTGTGCTTATGCTGGCTTGCTAGCAATCAGGATGGAGAAAGACCAGGGCTGATGGCTGCTGCCTTGTCACACTTCCCTGACCAAATCGTGTGCTGGGAGGGCTGCTAGTACATGCAGCAGCTGGGTGCTGAATCTCAGATGGATGGACCCTGGGAGAGGACTTGGTCTAGCTGTGCGGAGACAGCCCAGAGGGCCTTGGGTGTGGTCCAGGCAGAACCTTGGAGGTGATTATCAGCACACTGATGGGGGGCGGGGGTCTGGCCATAGTGGACTTTGTTGGCATGCACACTGGGTGGTGCCACAGAAACAAATGTCTCAGGTGGAGAGCCCCTGGGGAGGAGTAGGCAGCAGTTGTTTCTTGGCAGTAGTGCTCCAGCTCCATTCACCCCACACAGAAGCTTAGAGCCAGCTCTGGGGCAGATAGGCCCTGGGAGAGGCCTGCTACAGAGGCAGCCCAGGTTGCAGGTGGCAGCACAACTACCTTGATTCCTGCAGCCACAGTGCCTTGGCCCCCAGCACCAGCCCACTCCACACCATAGCCTAGCACTAAGTCTGGTACAAATGCAACAGAGAAAGGGTTATGACCTTGGGTTGATTCTGGTCAGAATCATGGATGCCTGCACCAGTGGGACATAGGTTTGCTGTGACTGCATGGGCTTTACATGCTTCGGTGGTCACCTCCTTTGGGGCAGGGCACACACTCAAGGGCAACGGACCTTATCGAATATGACCCTCAAGGCTTCTACTCCAACAACTGAGGAGTGGACCCTACCCCTGACAGGGCTGTTACAGCCTTGGAAAAGAGAGGAGGCCCCACCCAAAATCCAGGGGAGGCTCTGGCCACCACAACACAAATCCCATCCCCTATTAAAAGGATGACGGCCAACACACTCTGAGGAAAGATGTGGCTAGCATCCATGCAAAAACCAGTCCTCACAACAAAAATACTGGACTCACACAGTCTACACACAGATGCTCCCACATAAAAATACCCCTTCAAGACCACAGTAGATAACTGTTTCTCCTAAATTCATAGAGACAGAGAAAGTTAGGTAAAATGAAAAAGAAGAGGAACTACTCCCAATTAAAAGAACAAGAAAAATCCCATGAAAGAACAAATAATGAAACAGACCTCACCAGTCTACTAGATGCTGAGTTCAAAAAGGAGGTAATAATCATGCTAAAGGAATTAAGAAAGATTATTAATAGAAATGCAGATCACTGTAACAAGGAACTAGAAACTATAAAGAGGAACCAATCAAAATAAGACAACTCAATTGCCAACATAAAAAACAATATAAAAGCAATGAATTGCAGACTAAATAATGCAGAAGAAGGAATAAGTGATCTAGAAGATAGAATAATGGGAATCATCCAATCAGAACAGCAGATAGAAAGACAAATAAAAACCAAATGAAAGCAACATATGAGATATATGGGATCATTCAAAGCATACCAAACTACACATAATAGGGGTTCCAGAAGGAGAAGAGAGAGAGAAGGGGATCAAAAATGTATTTGAAGAAATTCTGGCTGAAAACTTCCCAAACCTAAAGAAGGAAACAGATATCCAGGTACGGGAAGCACAGAGGTTCCCAAACAAGATGAACCCAAACAGATCCAGACCAAGACATATTATAATTAAAATGGCAAAAATTAAAAATAAAGAGAGGATTCTAAAGCCAGCAAGAGAAATACAAAGAGTCAGTTACAAGGGAACCCCCATTAAGGATATCAGCTGATTTCTCTGCAGAAACTATGGGCCAGAAGGAAGTGGTATGATATATTCATAATTCTGAAAGGGAAAAACTTGCAGCTTAGATACTCTACCCTGCAAGATTATCATTTAGAACAGAAGGAGGAAGAAAGAATTTCTCAGACAAGAAAAAACTAAAGAATACAGCAATACTAGACCTACCCTAAAGAAATATTTAAGGGTCTTCTCTAAATAGAAAAAAAGAAAGAATCTATAGGAAAGGGAAAAATCACAATAGAAAAGGCAAATATATAAAAGGATTGAAGATCACTTAAATAAGCCAGTACATAGACTAAAAACAATCAAAAAATTTTTGTAAAAGTGATTGTAACTCTAAATAACAGCAAAAGGATAAACATGAAGATGTAAAATAGGGCATCAGAATCACAAAATGTGGGAGAGGGGAGTATAAAAATGTAGATCTTTCAGAATGTATTTGAACTTCTTTGACTATCAGTTTAAAACAAATAGATGTAGTTATGGGTCAACATACTAGAAAACCAGGGTGACCACAAATCTAAAACATACAATAGATTCACACAAAAATAAAAAGAAAAGAACTCAAGCATAATACAAAAGAAAACCATCAAACTACAAAATAAAAAATAAGAAGAAATAAAGAAGAACTGCAAAATCAACTGGAAAGCAAGGTTTTAAATGGCAATAAATACATATCTATCAGTAATTACTTTAAATATCAATGGACTACATGCTCCAATCAAAAGACATACAGTGGCAGACTGGATAAGAAAAACAAGAACCTACAATATGCTGTCTACAAGAGATTTACTTCAGGGTGAAACACACATAGGCTGAAATTGAGCGGATGATAAAAGGTATTTCATGCAAATAAAAATAACAAGACAGGGGTCAGCAATACTTACTTCAGACAAGAGACTTTGAAACAAGGTCCGTAAAGAAAAACATAGAGGGACATTATAATAATAATAAAGGGATAAATACAAGAAGAGGATATGACACTCATTATCATATATGCACCCGATATAGGAGCATCTAAATATATAAAACAGATACTAACAGGGATAAACGAAGAAATGAGTACAATAATAGTAGGAGAGTTAACACCTCACTGACATCAATGGACAGATCATCCAGACAGAAAATCAATAAAGCAACAGAAGTTCTACACGACACAACAGACCAGTTGATTTAACTGATATCTACAGGACACTACATCTAAAAGAAAAAAACCCAGAATACATATTCTATTCAAGTGTGCATTGAACATTCTCTAGGATAGACCACATACTAGGTCACCAAACAAGCCTCAACAAATTTAAGAAGGTAGAAATTATTTCAAGCATCTTTTCTGACCACAAGGGTATAAAACTAGAAATCAACCACAGAAAGAAAAACAGGAAAAGAGTAAATACATGGAGACTAAACAACGTGCTACTAAAAAACCAGTGGGTCAACAATGAAATCAAAGAGGAAAACAGATAACATCAAGACTATGACAATGAAAACACAACCTTACAAAATCTACAGGAGGCAGTAAAAACAGTTCTAAGAGGGAAGTTTATAGTGATACAGACCTTCCTCAAGGATAAGAAACATTTCAAATAAACAACCTAACCTGCCACCTAAAAGA